TCCTGGACCTGGCACAATCCAGCCTTTGACACCTTTCTCTTCTCTCCCACGCTGTCTGCACCACACTGGAGGATCCCTGCCCCCTGTGCCCAAGTCACTCACACCCATCCTTTGAAGCCCAGCATCTAGGCTGCCTCCTCTAGGAAGCTGCCCAGGCTGGTGTTGGTGTAGTGGCATCCTCCAAGCAGTCAAGTGCTCTATGTCACTCATCACATGGTTGGTACAAAGCCACTCATTAAAGCCACCTGTCCATCCATAAATGCAGGCGAACCCACTGTTCTGGGACTCTGGATCTCTAATTTCCCCTCAGGTTAATCTACTAGGTGTCCAAGCCTAAAATCTCCATGCGAAGAGAGCAGCATGATGCTTCTGCCAGCCTCAGTATACAACGATTCACACCTCAAGGCCAATCAAACTCCAAGACAATCTTAACAATGATGGCTGGGTCCAGCCAGGGCAGGTTATTGGTTTCTGCCACCCCACATGGGCTACACCACATCAGCCAGTCACAAATGTGCCTACTTTCTACAGTTATCATATGTTGGGGTGTTTTAGGAGGTCCTGACCTGATTAAAAGTCTGGACTGTACACTAACTTTCCCCTTTTCCCCCTAGGATTGCAGCCAGCTTCCTCCTTTCTAGACCTTGCTACCACCCATCCCCTTTCTTCCTGCCTTCCCCTCTTCCCTCAGGCCAGGCTGGCCTATCAGAAGGTGCTGTAGGTGGGAGGTGGGGAGAAGCAGACTGGAAACACCTGCAGCAAATGCTTCTTTTCCCTTCTTACCCTGTCTGGGGCTGCAGACCACTGCAGACCGCATACGTTTCTCTTCCATGGCAGTGTGCACGAATTACTGCAGGTATGCATGCTTGCTCGATCCCTTACCTCTCTCTCTCACTGCCTCAGCCACCTCAAGATGGAATGGGGGTGGGGTGGGGAGAGAGATGGGAGGCTGGCAAGAGCCCTCTGATCCCCCTTATACAACCCCAAAAGTTGACAAGTCCTAAGAACCTCCAGTCCAAGCTGGGAGTCAGTATATGGATAGGTAGGGAGGCCAGGAAGTAGGGTACCAGGGTCTCTGTGCATTTTGATGTCATGTGAACGACACGAAAAGCAGATACAAATATTACACAAAATAGAACTTTGTTTTTCTAGCCAACTGCTCTGGGGTGTTCTGAAATGGGCTATAGAGGCCCAGAACCCAAGGGGAGATGTGGAGGTGTGATGGGCATCATGGACACTTTGTGGAGAAGCAGTGACATGCGGGCTCCCCTCCTGCCATAGCTCCAGGCTCTGTTCCTGGAATGCAGGTGAAGCACTGTCCTTGATTCACGCTGCTCTGCAAGTGGAGAGGGCAATGGCTGATCTATCTCCAGTGCTTTGGGAACCTTTCGGAGCCATCCATCCATTTAATGGTGTGAGAGACAGATCACAGACTCGCTAAATTCTTCTGTCCTGGCCTTTGCCAGACCTGGGTTTGATTCCCAGCACCACCATTTAATCGCTGTGTCCTTGGGCGAGGCAGGTCACCAAGTTGCCTCTGAAGCGCCTCTTTATTTACTCATAAATTAAGAACAGTAATTGGACAAAGCTCTTGTACAGTGTTGGTAAGGACTCCCTCGGTGACATATGCAAGGTGGATGGACCATGGCAAGTGCCTGGCCCTGGGTAAAGGCTCTATCAGTGGCCTTTTCTCCTCCCACACACCCAGTACTGGGAACTGAAACCAGGGCCTCCCACATGCTAAGCAAAGGTTCTACCCCTGAACTTCATCTTGAACCCTCTTTTTACCTTTTAAGACTAAGTCACCCAGGATAGCCTTGAACTCATCCGTAGTTGAAGCTTACCTTGACCTTGCCATCTTCCAGCCTCAGCCTCTGGAATAACTGAGACTACAGATCCGCCCCAGCAGATCTGATTAATTACTGTTTTTTGGGGGGGAAGATTTATTTTTATTTTAAGTGTATAAGTGTTTTGCCTGCATGTATGTCTCTGTACCACATGAGTGCAGTGCCCACAGAGGTCAGAAGAGGGAGTCAGATCCCCTGGACTGGAGTTACAGATGGTTATTAGCTGCCATGTGGGTGCTGGGAACTGACCCTGGGTAGGTCCTTTACAAGACAGCTGAGCCATTTCTCCAGCCCTGCTCCTTTTAAAAATGAGTCATGTGTATGAGTGTTTTGCCTGCATGGATACATGTGTACCACGAGTGTGTCTCACTCCCTAGGAGGTCAAAAGAGGGCATGTGATGCTCTGGAGCTGGAGTTACAAGCCATTGTGAGCTGCCACATGGGCGATGGGAACTGAGGCCAGTCATTGCAAGAACAGCAAAGTGTTGTCAACCATGAAGCCATCTTGCAGCCCTGTTTGTTTTCTATTTTTTTTAATTTTAATTTTTATTTAAAGATAGTCTTTGCATCAAGGCCTGTTTGTTTTCAAAGCTAAAAATCAAACTTAAGGAAGGCGTCACATCACAGATGCCAGGCAAGCACTTTACCTCTGAGCTACAAGTCTGTGAATATCAATTATAACTGTAGTGCACGTCCCCAAGGGTACACACACACACACTCACACACACACACAGAGAGAGAGAGAGAGAGAGAGGCACACCACCCTGCCTTTTTTCCCTGATCCTGTGCTTTTCTGGGAGCTCCCAGAAGACAAAATGCCACACCCAACAGCAATGGCTGTTGAGTTCCAGGCTTCTGCCAGAGGGTGGGTAGGTAGGACCTCGGGTTACTCTCCCAATTCTCCACATCTGCCCGAGAGAGGCTCACGCATCTCATTTGGGTAGCGGGAAGTGAGGAAGGGCTCCCTCAGAGACCATCCAGTGACTCTCTTGGTCCTATCCATGAGGAGGCTCCCAGCAGGCAGTTGAAAGAACGTGCTGTGTAGACTGGTGGCTGCTTCTCACTGACCTTCACCTTGCAAAGATGGAGGCGATGTCAATGGGAGGAGTTGAGGACTTTCTGCTTCCAAGCAAGTGAAAACAAGACCTCAGTGGAGAGGAAGGCTGGCCAGGGCACTGGGAAAATTCTGGTGCAGAGGTGCATCTGTGGAGGTGGGTGGGATGGCAACCTCACAGTCAGAGCCAGCATTGGTGAGCATGTTAAGACTCTGGCCGAGTGTTGTGGCTCATGCCTTTATCCCAGCACTTGGGAGGCAGAGGCAGGTGGATCTCTGAGTTTGAGGCCAGCCTGATCTATATGAGTTCCAGGACAGCCAAGGCTATACAGAGAAACTAGGTCTAAAAAAGAAAAGAGAAAAAAAAAAAAACTTTTGTTTTTGTGGGGTTTTTGTTTTTCTAAGATAAGGTCTCTTATAGCCCAGGCTGACCTTGAACTCCCAAGGTAGCTGAGGATGGCCTTGAAATCCTGATCCTTGTGCCCTGTCCTCCAGAGTACACCCTCCAGGATCACCCATGTGTGCTTATTTTATGATCTTTTTTTTTTTTTACATCATCATTACTACTACTATTTTATGTGTATGGGTGTTTTACCTCTGTGTATATCCATACACAAAGGTAAATGGCTGATGCCTGAGGCCAGAAAAGGGCATTGGATCCCCTAGAAATGGAGTTATAGATGGTTTGAGCTGCCATGTGGGTGCTGGGAATCAAATCTGGGTCCTGTGGAAGAACAGTCAGTGCTCTTAAACAGCAGAGCCATCTCTCCAGCCCTAAGAGGATACTTGTCTACAGCAGTTTTCCTCAGACTCAGACAGTCCATCCTGCCGGGAAATTCATTAAGGAAGGAAGAACTCAAAATAGTTTCAGGAAGTCCCTGAAACTGACTAGATTCACTAGGCCCCTCCCTCCCTAAGAATATATAAATAGGAAAATGTATTCACAGTTGCTCTCCGACAAGTCCAGCTACTTGGAAGAAACAGAAACACACCCACCAGCCCTGGAAGAGGTTCAGACCAACTGAGCAGCCAGGAAAGGACACTCTCCAACCTGTTGAGCTGCCTACAGATTATACAATGTGCTCCAGGTTTCTAGCTATAATTTCTTAGCCATGCTGGAGGGGCCTTTGGTGATGCAGCTGTCTTTTGAGTCATTTCCACTCTTGTAAATAGCCCCTAACCCCTATTCCTGTAATAATCCCAATAAAACTAATTGGTTCACCAAGTTGGACTTTTATGATGGTATCTGTACTTTGGTCTGTTGTCAAGTCCCTATTTGAGGTAAGTAGGTACGTGTGTTTATGTGTGTTGTGTCTCCCCAGGAAAAGTCTGTCACACAATAGCTCTTTCCCAGGCTGTGCTAAACACCTCACATGTTGCATCGTATTTATACTTAACAGTGACCCTCTCAATGGTCACCCATTCCTTTTTTTTTTTTCTTTTTCTTCTGAGACAGGATCTTATGCAGCTCTGACTGGCTTTGTAGCTGAGGTTGACCTTGAACTTGTGATCCCCTAGTCTCTAGCTCCTGTGTGTGAGATTAAAGAGTGTCGGGTGCGTGCTGCTACATCTTGTTTATACTGATCTTCGCACATGCTAGACAAGCATTCTATTAACTGAGCAACTGCCAGATTCCCTTTCTTCTTCAACCCTTGAGGAAGCTGAACAAGAGGCTAACGCAGTCACATCCCAGGCGTGGAACCCTACCTAGTACAGCCGTGCCTCAGTCTCTGCTCTACATAGCTTCTCCATGCCCTCCGGGGCCAGCCTACACTCAGTCCCTGCTCAGTTTACCTCGAATCCAATTCCCCTACCAAAAAGTACTACAAAGCCAGCAACCTCTCCCCTCTTCCTCAGACCTCTGTGTCCTAATCATCTCCTTCTCCTCCCTGCCAAAATGTTTGCCTTTTCCTGATCTGTATAGGTGTCAGAGGGACCGTTTACATTTTTAAGTTGGGGCCGGCCGGAGAGATGGCTCAGCCATTAGGAGCACTGGCTGACTGACCTTCCAGAGGACTCGGGTTAAATCCCCAGCACCCCCACATGGCAGCTCACAACTCTGTTCAGATACACATGCAGGCAAAAAACGCCAATGCACCTAAAATAAAAATAAATAATCTTAAATTTTTTTTTAAAGTCAGCGCCAGGTGTGGTGGCACACATCCCAGGATTCCAGAGGCAGAAGCAGGAGGATCTCTGTGAGTTTAAGACCTATTAGGACCTATGGCCATGCCCATAAAGGCCTTCTCCTACCGTCCACAAGGCCAGTTCTTTTCGAGCCTCCAACCAGAATACTCTACCCTCTCTTTTGCTAACAGGCTTTTCCTGGTCTTTTAGGTCCCAGGTCAGATGCCACCTCCTCCGAGAGGCCTTCCCTGACTACAACAGCAGTATGCACCCTCCCTGAAGTCAGTCTCACACGACCTGTTTTAATGTCTTCTTGGCTCTTCAGCGATTGCGTCCAACGATTTATTTGATTATGGCGTCTCCTTGAACAAGAATGTAAGTTCTGTGAAGCTGGGACGAGACTGTTTGTTCTCTTGGTGCCCACAGAGTTTAAACACTGTCTGGCATTTAGTAGGCACTCAATAAACTCGCGATGATGTGGGCCTGGTGTGTGCCGTGGACCAAGGAGGCACAGAGTGCCTCAGTTTCCTTTCGTTGTTGGCCTTCGTCTCATTCCTCCGGCCACACAGAGAAGAGTCTGCATGAGATCAGAGATGGCACAATGTTCCTTCCGGGGGAGAGAGGGCACGATGCCCAAGTGGAGATGAGGTCAGTGCAGGAGGCAAGAGGAGCCGCAAAGATCATCTTGGCCGGAGCCCTGACCTGGCCCGACCCAGGATCCCAGATCCGCTGGGGAGGGCGTGCAACCGGGCCTCGGGTGGGAAGCTTCTCCCGGCGGGGCCTCCTCTCCCCTCCCCTCCCTGGGGAGGCAGGTGGAGCTGCGTCCTCATCTTTGTTCCCATCTGGAGCGCGTTTGGCGCGGCGTGGCGGGGGCGGGGCTGCGCCCCCGCGGTGCCCAGAGAGACGGGCCCGCCCGCTTATCTGATCTGCAGCTAATTGAAACTCCCTGCTCGCGAAGGTCAGCTCGGTCCCCTGACAGCTGCCGAGCCGAGCCAGGCCGGATGGAAAACCCGGGCTGTGCAGGGCCGACGGGTGCGGGGGGGGTGGGGTGGGGGGGGCTGCCTCTGCGGCAAAGTAGACAAAGGCGGCCCCTCCCTCCTCGTGCGCGCTGCTGGGGGTCGCCAGAGGTAGCGGCCTTCGCCCTCACCCTGCGGGGCGCTCCAGCCAGAGTCACATGGCCTAGGGCTACAGAGGAGGGGGTGCCCTTAATCCCTGCGCGCCCGCCCACCCTGCTCCCACGCCGGGGACCGTCTGGGGTCTCTGGGAGAGTCACCCCCAACTTCCTGCCCCCACCCCGCCTCCACGCCCCGGCTCTGAGACTTCCTGCCTCCCCGGCTGCGGGCAGCTTAAACTGTGGGAAGCTGGTGGGGCCGGGGTGACCCGGTCCCCTCCCCCTGCGCGCTCGACGGGGCGCAGGGGTCCGGGAGGAAGTGTGCGCGGTGGGGGGGCACCGCCCGGCTCCGGGCAGTCATCCGGTGGGGCAGGTGCGGCCTCGGGCCCGCGACGGAGGGCAGGCCGGCCTGTTGCTAATGGTGCTGGAGCGAGTGGGCGGGGAAAGACTCCACGGGGGGCGCGTTTCCAGGGTTCCGGGTGCGGATGTAGCGAACGTCCACAGCTCAGCCTGGCCCGCCACGCCTCAAGCAGGCCCGGGCCCTGGGCTGCCCGCTCGGGTGCCCTCACCTGCCGCCTGTGCACCTAGGCAGGGGTGTTGGAGACCTGGGGATCCCCTCGCAGCCTCCAACCTGAGCGCGCCCCCTTTAACCAGAACCTTTGCCTTTGCGTTTCCAGCCTGTAGAACAACGACCCCAAAGACAGATTTTCGAACCACCGCGTTAAGCACTTAAACGGACTTCGAAAAGCATTTAAACCGCACAGGTCCATTTTGCTGATGAGCAAGCCGAGGCACAGAAAAGCCGGGACTTGACCAAAGTCACACAGCTCCTCCTAAATTAGCTAGGCAGAGCTAGGAGGCTCTGACGCCAGATCTGGCCCTTTTAGCTACCGGAGGTCTCTTTTGGCAAGGGCTGCCGAGTTGTGCACCAAATATAGGTCGATTCCCCAGGGCATCCGTAAGTGCGGTGAGCCCCTCGGCAAGAGCCGCACATGTTCCTAGCTGGGTGTTGGGCACGTGTTTCATGGCGCAGTCCCGCGTGCCGGGGGGTGGGGGGGGTACAGCATAGCTGAGCGCACTGGCGCCCAGGTGCTATATTCCCGGTTGGGACTCGGCAGAGTCCTGTGGAGGGGCCTGAGCTGCGGGCAGGGCGGAGCGGGGGCGGAGAGCTCGGAGCAGAGTCCACGAGGGCCACGGCGCCTGGGAGGCCGCAATCCGGGCGCCTGCAGCCGGCGAGGCGCGGGGTGACGCGCGGGGGCCCAGCTACCGTGACCTCCTCCGCGGTTGCCATGGTGACCGTGCACTATAAATAAAAAAAAAAAAAAAAGAGGAGGAATTTCAAACCCGTTTTCTACGGAGCTTGGCGGGAGGGGTGGGGGAGGTCTCTTTGAATCGAGTTTCCCATTTCACCTTCCCAGGCGGCAGGAGCGCTTCCCCCGCAGCCCAGCCGGGAAATTGCCGCCCCTCACGCCGCGTGGCGCCCCCGGAGGAAGCTAATTAGCGCAGCCCGGGGAGCTGGAGACAGGGGACCTGGCCCCCGTGGGGGGGGGGCAGGGCCCGCCTTTTGTGGGGAGGGGAAAGCGCCTACAAATTGCCCCCCCCCTTCCAGCTCTCTACGGTGCGCGCTCAGCCCAGTGCGGGCCGGGGCACGGGGCGCAGGCGGGAGGTCGCATCTGCAGCTTTGGCGCAATGAATCAGGCACGGCCGCCGCCGCCGCCGCCGCCGAGCGCGTCTGGCATCCGGAGTCTCCCGGGATCGAAAATAATTTGGGCAAAGCGGTGGGAGGTGTGTGTGCGCGCGCGTTCCGAGGGGAGGGCGGGGAAGCAGGCCGGGCGGGGTGCGCGGGGCGGGGGGAGGTGCCATCCGACAGCCCCGCTGTGGTGAGAACGGAGTTGACACTTCTTTCCTTTCCACTTACTGCGGCAAGTACCGCGAGGAAGCTTAACCCTGTCGCTGCTTGGCGCATGAGACGCGGTGCAGGCGCCCTCCTGAGGGCGATCAGGGCCGGGGGCAGGTGTGCAGAGCCCTTTGGCATGGGTCCTTGCGGCTTGCTAGGTCAGCTCTCTGTCTCCCTAGCCTGGGGCTCCCACCTGGACATTCCTCAAGACATCTTCTTGGATGCTTTTCCCAATACTTCAGTTTTCCTTTTTCTAGATTCTGCTACTGTCAACTCCATGACCTCAGTTTCCCTACTTTTCCAAGGCAGCCGGTGGTTTTTTGTTTGTTTGTTGTTAGCAGCTTCCTTGTCAGGAACCTTCTTATGAGGACACTCTGCCTTGGGCCTTTGGCAGTTAAACTGCAGGAACCAACTCTCCCAATCTAGTGTTCCTCATCAACCGACTCTCCCAATCTAGTGTCTCTCATCAAAATGGCCGGGTTCCTGTTTTTGCCTCTGATGACAGAAATGTCACCGCTGCAGCATTAAGCACGCTCGGCGGGAACTTGGTTTGGAGCGAGAAGCTGGCGCCCAGCCCTGCCGAGCTGCTTGCTCCAGTTGGGAGGGGGTAGGCTGGCTGGCCGGCCAGCCTGGCTGAGGTCAGCCTTTGTCTTCACACCTTCCTGCTGGTCAGCCTGCCACTGTTCACTCTCCAAAAATCGTGCAGGTTGCTTCCAATCAAGTGTGGCTCAGGGGAGTGAGTCTTTTCAGACCCTTGTGCCTGTTTGGCTCAGGGAGATGGGAAATTCCTGTCTTCTCCTTCCCGCCCCTATTCTAATTGGGAACGTGTCTGGACCTCGTAGATCTTTTGTTTAGTACTGCCCATTTGGTGGTAGCCAAATCTCAGAGCACCTGCTTTAAGACCCCCAAGTGCCCCCCACACATCAGGAGGACGCCCTGGGACTGTTCCAGCATCTCCTGAGCTTCCACCCCGAGAATTTTCAGACCATTGGGCTTACGAGCCTGCAGATAGGGGTCATCTCTGGGGTGGTCCTAGTGTTTACTCTGAGAGGCATGTTGGGAGGACCCAAGAGATCAACGGTTCCAGGATCAAGCACATCACTGCCTAAATCAGGGAACTCAGGGAACAGACTGTTGAGTTCTCCTTAAGCTAGGGACTCTGGCTAAAAGTGTGGGCTCAGGAGGCAGAAGATGGTGGCCAAGGAGTAATGCCTTTTTGGCCTCTGACCTCTGATCAAGCTGATCCCATGAATCCTGGGCCAGGGCCTGGATAAGTTCCCTTCCCTGCTGACACACAATGAAAACATGGTGGCCCGAATTGTTGAATTCCACACTCAAGTTTCATTTCATCACGTGAGGATGGCAGATGATGAGCTAGTCTCCTACGTCCACCTGGCTGTCAGAGTCTTGCTGTCATTGCTGAAGAAGAACCGGCAGAATGTCTGGGCTTTGCACGTTGAGAGCACCTTGGACGAGCCTAGCACCTGTATGAGGGAAGATCCTAATAAATCCCAGTGCTACCAAAGGTGGGGGGTGGGGGGTACGGGCTCCGGGCCAGAGACTGATGGCTTAGTATGGGAAGCACTTGTTGGACAAGCATGGGGACCCCAGCTTGGATCTCCAACACTCACATAAAAAGCCAGGCTTAGGCCAAGTGTGGGGGCTCACATCTTTAATCCCAGCACTTGGAAGCCAGAGGCGTATCATACCTCGGTGAGTTCAAGGTCAGTCTGGTCTACATAGTTCTAGGCCAGCCCGGACTGCAGAATGTGATCCTATTTCAAAAACTTTTCATTTTTATTTGTGTGTATGTGTGCTTCTGTGTATGTGCATTGGGGACGTGTGTGTGTGTGTGTGTGTATGTGCCCGAAGAGGTCAAGAAAGTTCGTCAGATCCCTTGGAGCTGGAGTGACAGGTGGTTGTGAGCCACCCAATGTGGATGCTATGACTTGAACTCTGGTCTTCCACAAGAGTCTTGAGTGCTTTTAGCCACTGAACTATCTCATTTTTGACACAGACTCTTGAAATGTGACACCAAACTCACTGTATAGCCCAAGCCTGACTTCAGACTCACTCTCTCTCTCTCCCTCCCTCCCTCCCTCCCTCCCTCCCTCCCTCCCTCCCTCTCTAAAGCTAGGTCTTAACTATGTAGCCCTGGCTTGCCCGGCACTTAACTATGTAGACTAGGTTGGCCTCAGATTCAGAGATCCACCCTCTACTGTCTCCTTGTACAGTTATTCACATTTATTTATTTATTTATTTGTTTGTTTATTGTGTCTATGTGTCTGTGTACATACACGTGCTATGGCACATGTGTGGAATTCGGAGGACAGCTTGTGGGAGTTGGTTCTCTCCTGCCCTGTGGGTCTGGTGATTGAACTCAGGTCATCAGGCTTGGCAGCAAGCCCCTTTCCTTGCTGAGCCATCTTGATGGGCCCTGGCCTCAAACTCTTAACCCACGTGCTGGGATTAGGTCCTGAGCCACTGTGCTTAGATGAGGATATTGTTATCATTGTTATTTGTTTATTTAATGATTGACTCGTATACTTACTATTTATAGGTAAGATCAATCATGTAGCCCACACCACACTGGTCTTGAATTCAGTATTGTAGCAGAAGATGACCTGGAATTTTTGAACCTCTTACCTCCACCTCTTTAATGCTAATATTACAGGCTTGCACCACCGGACTCCGTCTGGGTGGGTTTGTGCAGTACTGCATATTGAACCGAGGGTTTCATGAGAATTGGACAAGAACTCTACCAACCGAGCCAATACCTGGCTCTGTTATGGTCACGTTTTCAATGAACAAATAGATTGAGTGAGATGGACTTGCACAAGGTCACACAACTGAAGGATAGGCACTGAGGTTTGGCTCTGTTAGGGGGCTCCACAGCAGACTGCGATTTTATGAAGAAGGATCTCATGATCAGGGCTTGGGAATGAGAAACTACCATTTCTGACAGTGTTCTTGGTTCTGTGGTCTCTGTCTGAGCTCACACCATCTTAACTGATTAGGGATGAGGAGTGTGCTTTACCAGAAGGTAAAACAGCCAGCCATGGTGCACAGGCCTTCAACCCCAGCACTCAGGGAAGCAGAGGCTAGCCTGATCTACATAGTGAGTTCTAGGATAGCTAGGGTTACATGGCAAGACCCTGTTCCAGGTTTTATTATGTGGAAGGTCTTTTTGTTTTTAGTTCTGTTTTTTTCTGTTTTTGAGACAGGGTCTCACTATGTAGCACATGTCTCCCTCCAATAAATAAATATTTTAAGGGGCTGGAGAGATGGCTCAGAGGTTAAGAGCACCGACTGCTCTTCCAGAGGTCCTGAGTTCAGTTCCCAGCACCCACATGGTGGCTCACAACCATCTGTAATGAGATCTGGCACCCTCTTCTGTATGCATAATAAATAAAATAAATCTTTTAAAAAAATAAATAAATATTTTAAAATAAACTGGGTGTGGTAGTGCAGGCCTTTAATCCCAGTACTTTGGAGACAAGGGCAGGTGGATAGATCTCTGTGAGTTAGAAGCCAGCCTAACCTACAGAGTGGTTTCCAGGACAGTCAAAGCTATGTAGAGAGACCCTGTCTCAAAAAACAATAATTAATTAATTAAAACAAAAACCTAGGCTGAGTATGTAGCACACTAGGTAGATCGATTGCTGAGTATGCACAAAGCCTTGGGTTCAATTCCTAGTACTGAAGAGGTGGGTATAGAAAGGTCAAAAGTTGCCGGGTGGTGGTGGTGCACGCCTTTACTCCCAGCACTTGGGAGGCAGAGGCAGGTGGATCTCTGTGAGTTCAAGGCCAGCCTGGTCTGCAAAGTGAGATCCAGGAAAGGCGCAAAACTACACAGAGAAACCCTGTCTCAAAAAACCCCCCAAAAAAAGAAAGAGAAAAGAAAGGTCAAAAGTTTAAGGCACAGTGGCAGTCTTCTCTAGTCCCAACACTTGAAAGACAGGGGCAGGCAGATCTCTGTGATTTTGAGGCTATCCCAGTCTATATAGACAGTCCCAGGCCAGCCAGGGCTGTACACTGAGATCCTGTCTTTTAAAGAGTGAAGTTCGCCGGGCGGTGGTGGCGCACGCCTTTAATCCCAGCACTCGGGAGGCAGAGCCAGGCGGATCTCTGTGAGTTCGAGGCCAGCCTGGGCTACCAAGTGAGTTCCAGGAAAAGGCGCAAAGCTACACAGAGAAACCCTGTCTCGAAAAACCAAAAAAAAAAAGAGTGAAGTTCAAGGTCAACCACAGCTCTTTAGCAAGTTCCAGATCAGCCTGGGGTACATTAGACTGGATCTCAAAACAGTAAGAGGGGCTCAGTGGACAGAAGCGCTGGCCGAGTAAGCCTGATGACTGCAGATTGATCCTGAGGCTCCTCCTAAAGGTAGAAAGAAGAGCCAGGTGTGGTGGAGTACACCTTTCATTTTAATTCCCTGCTGGTAGGGCAGACAGACAGATCTCTGCAAGTTCAAGGACAGTCTGTCTACATAGTGAGACCCTGTCTCAAAAGAAAAAATAAAGGCAGAGGGAAGAGAAGCAACTCCACCAAGTTGTCCCCTGACCTCCACATGGGTGTGCCATGGTGTGCACACACACCTGCACACACACACACCCACACACACCTGCACACACACACACACACACACACACACACACACACACACACCTGCACACACACACACCTGCACAAACACATAAGTAAATGGTTAAGAATGCTTTGTTTCTTGCTCTTTCCGGAAGGCCCAAGTCCTAGCCCCCAGTGCCCATGTTGGTGGTTTACGACCACTTAGAACTCCAGCTTCAGGGGGATCCAGTGCCTTTGGCTTCCTCGAGTACCTGCACTCACATGCACAGGCACGAGAAATTAAAAATAAGGCTGGAGAGGTGGCTCA